TCTTAACGGAAAATATTAGGGCACCCCTACGAAATCAAGTTTTGGGCGTAAACCTGGATTTTACAAAGGGCTGCAAAACCATAAGATAAAATAGGTTTTGGGTCTCCTAGAATCCTGGCCCTTGCCGCGATGCGGGAGGGGGGGGGGGTGTACGTTACGCCACTGTATATGCATATATTTTAACTTATCATTTAAAAGCCAAAAAATATTATTAAGAAGTATGTGAATAAATACACTTTTTTCGGTATATTTTGAAAAAAAAAAATCGAATGAGATTCAGGATATTTGTTTCAGTAAAAATATTACAGTTTTTTGGATCTTATAATTCTAAGAAACGTTATATAGCTCGGTAGTCTGTTGTCCTGTTTCAATCATAGATTTTTATGCTGAATATCAGGAATCGCCATAAATAAATTGAAAGAAGCTTTAAAATATCCTCCCTTTATATATACAACAGAAAATTATGTGAAAGCTCTATTAAGATTTGCATCCAATATTTTTTTTTTTTATTTAAAAGAATTCAAATTCAGTTTGTTGTAAAAATTATTTTTATAAGCTTTGATATTAGAAGCGTACTACTACTGCTTAAATCGTAAATTTACAGAAAATCGCATCCTTCCAAACTGTTTTTCCATTATTATAAATCGAAAACGTGATTGTTGAAATAATTAAAATTTCAAAAAAGCATTATAAAAATATTCTTTATTTAAAATAAATCAGGCATTTAAATTCATTGCATATTTTCTGCCAAATTATTCCTTTCATGATGGGTTAGATCGGATTAAACAATGGAAAATTGGCACTGATTACGATTAATGAAGAATAAAGATTGAATGATACCGAAAATAAAGTCAATCATTTTACAGGATTTCCCAAATCCTTTGAGCACTTAATGAGACAAGATATAGCAATTATTGTTAAAGCAAAAATATGGTTTTTTATATCTGTTTACTACTGTAGATCTGTTTTTCAAAACAAATTTCTTTTTATGCTTCATTTAGTATTCAATCGGATTATTTTAAGCATCGAGCATATTTTCGTGCATTAAAGAAAGTTTATATATATTCTGCAGAGATTGAACTGTGTTTTCAAACATCATATATCTTTTTAATATCTAGATCCATAATGGACTGGTTGTCATAGCAACAACAACCTAATGGCAAACGGGTCAAAAGATTTAGATTCGATTACGCAGAAGATTACCGTATAAAAACAACAAAAGTTATTATCCGTAAACTATACAGTAAATACTTTATAAATTCATAAAATGCTGGATAAATTTTTCTGTGTAGAACTAGACATAAGGTACTTTTTTGTGTAACTTAACAGAAAAATAGGTCGTGAAATATCATTTAAAAATAAGCACTGTTTGTCATGAATTATTTATTTCTAGTGAGCAAAGTGTTATGTGAAATGTAGGTTTGCTTATAGTTCCATGATAATTATATGAAGGAATAAAAACATCCTGAATTCTGATGATAGGACTTGAAATGTTGGTAACTTTTCGGTCTGCAGTGCGTGAACAGTGCAGTGCCAAAATTGTCCGCTTGGCTAGACTTGCTCCCAGTACATCGAATAAGAATATTTTTACTAACAAGTTATTTAAAAGGAATTGTGTCAGAATTTTTAAATTGAATTTTAAATTTTAATAGCTCCGGTAGCCTTGAACTCGTGGCCGATGCTGTTCAAATCGAGTCGTGGGTTCTAGTCAGGATGCCACTTAAGACCCTTCGGGTAGAGGGGAGGCCACAGTATTAATTGAATATTAACGTCACACTGTTCAGCTACACGAGGGCTTTTGGCGACGGACCACGTAATTTTGAACCATGGTCAAGTGACGTGGACGAAACCTGAGCTAGCACCCCCTCTCCTAACTACCGCACCACACCAACGGGAGAACGATTCAGCTCTCGACAGATTTAACGTACATCGCTGCCCTACACGGCGGGTCTTTAGTGATACTGGGCTCCAATTCGCGTGACAAGGCAAGCCACGATCCGATACCTATACCACTCGGCTACCGCAGCCACAAAAACGAAATATGTTACGTAGTACCGTCCGGGATCGAACCGGAGACATTTCACGTGTAAAGCACAATCGTGATAGACACTACACTACGGAACCGTGAAGGCCACGGTAGCCTAGTGGTAAAGATGTCTGACTCGTGGCCGGCGTGCCATGAGTTTGAGCCTAGTGCCTCTGAAAACCCTTCGTGTAGAGGTGCTGATACACGTTAAATTTGTGGGGCTCAAACGTCCACCCATTGGTGTAGTGGGGAAGTTAGGAGGGGGTCTACCAGCTCAGGTGTCGTCCTCGGCACTTGACCAGGTTCAAAATCGAGGTACGTCACCAAAAGCCATCGTGTAGCTGAATAGGGTAACGTTAATATTCTCACTCTCGTGTGGAGGTGTTGATGAACGTATTTTTGAAATATATATTTGAATGTGCCTGTAAGTTAATATACAATTGTCTTTGTGTACTTCCGTTAAAATATATAGTTGGCATGGTGTGGAAGTTTGGAGAAGGGGGCAGCTCAAGTGTCAACTTCGTCACTTGAACGTGTTTCAAAAGTATAACGTCCATCCAGCAGGTTAACGGAGAATATTCGGACCCCACTTCAAAGTCAGGTTTTGGCCCCAAGCCGGATCTTACAAAAAATTTCTAAACAAGATAACATTGGCTTTTGGTTCCCTAGAATCCTGCTCCCTACCGCGATGCAGGCGTGTATGTTACGTCGCTGGGTCCATCTCTATTTGCCCTCGTGTTGCTTCACAGTGCAATGTAATTTAAAATCAAAACAAATCTTTTTAAATGTAAATGATACGCGCGCGCGCGGATTCTTGTTCAATAAAAAATGAGTATGGTGCGATTGTTTGTCTCTCTGAGCACTTAAGCTGCATTCACACCAAAGCTGTAAGCGTCGAGCTTTGAGCGTCTAGCCAATGAAAGACTTCATCTCGGGCGAGATGAAATCTCTGATTCGCTCGACGTTCGACGCTGACAGCCTTGGTGTAAATGCAGCCTTAAGGTTTCAGACTACGTTCGGAACCGTGATTTTAAAAAAGGGCGTAAATGGATAATTTACATGATATTTAGTGTCACTTAGATTAAAATGCATATATAAAATAGTTTTAACGACATTATAGAAAAAAAGTTATTTAAATACAATATTTTGGCAAAAAATTAACTTAGAATAACCTTTTTTCAAAACGTTCTCCTTTTATAAAAAAATGCTTCTGTCATAAAAATATTTTGTGTGTGCTTATATAAAGTACAGACTTCTCCAGAGAGTCTGAACTAGGAATTTTGAAAAATTCACATAATTTTCAGAGTTACCACCCATTGAAATAATTATCGGCGTTTTATTTCTTAAAATTTCCCCCCTCTGTTGTCGTAAAATATGAATAAATCCACTTTTAGGTTATATATTTCAAAAATTCTAGTTGAGCCTCTGTAGAGAGGTCCGAGTTACATACAGGCAAAATATTATTATAATAGAATCATTTTTCACAAAAGGAGAATATTTTGAAAATGGGTCATTCTATGTTCATTTTTTGTCAAAATATTATACTTAAATAATTTTTTATTGTAATAATACTCTTTAAATAATTTTATATGCATTTTCTAATCAAAATGACACTAAATATCATAAATATTATCCATTTATAAGCTTTTGCAAAATCTCGGTTCCGAACGTAGTCGGATACCTCAAGGTGAGTTCTGATCCCTTTAGGCATTCCACCAATACTCCCTCCAGAAATCAACCAACCAACCAACCAACCAATCAACCATCCATACGAAAGTCTTTGCCATGTATCATACTCTATATCTATGAAGAAATGTCAAAAAAGTTAATGATTTGCATATTTTATATATACTAAGACCTTGAGGATACAATGAAAAGTTTTCCTTTACTCGAGATTTCACACCAGAACCTGTGAGTTTTCTTTTCGCGTGGCTTTGATCTTTCAAGGAAGACGCGGTCAGTGATTTCTTGCGTGACTCAAGGTGTACATCAACTATTGCAAGTAACTTAGTATTCATTGAAATAAATGTTGTGTTCTATCTGTTGATGCAGAACGGTGTAAGATTTAGTGTATAAATTGTTATTTTGCATTTCAGTTATCTTTCACGTAAACACAGATGGCACTGCGTACACATTGCTAATCGCTTAAAAATTTATCTTAAATGTTTCATAAAAATTCAGGAAGCAGATAGTCGGTATTATTTTTATTAGGTATCTGTTAGTATGTTGCAGAATAAATTGTCATTGTTGAGGAAGTAGTAATGGTTAGTAAGTTTCGTTCTACTTAAGTCAATTTCAATACAAAATTTTTTAACCTTTATTTCCTATTTAAACTTGTTTAGAGAGCATATTTAAGTTAGGAATAGAATAGGGGAGAAATTTGATTTAATTAGTTTATTTGGAAATCGAAATATTATTGAACATTAAAATATTTACAAATATTAAAGTTTTAGAAAAATTTAAAACTTTAGATTATTTTTTAGATTTTGTTTGTTAAACCTAGATTATTTTGATTGAAGATTATGGAGCATGTAAAAGGTCTAAAATAATGTTAACAAAATGAGTTTAGGATGATTAAACCTTTGTAAAATGTTGTGAATTTTGAAATAATTGTGCACATGGCTATCTGTATTTGCAGTTTCATTAAGTCTGTCTTCGGTAAAAGTACGAGAGCTTGAACTAAACGCAAAGCACATTTTCAGACAGAAAAATGCCTCAATTTCCATGGGAATTTGCAATACAGTTGAACACCTGTTTTTGTACGGTTGATAAAAACCGCATAAAAATAACCGCACAAAAAAAATTCGAAAATTTCATGAATTTTTACATATAACAAGCCAATTCGTCGAAATACAGCAAAAAAAAATTGTGTTGTCGCACAAAAATAAAATCGCATAACAAAGGACCGCACAAAAACAGGTTCTACTGTATTATAACTCTGTTAACAATATAGTGTTTTTAAAAACTTCAAAATATTCCACGAATACTTCCTTTTTCGTTTTAATACGTGGAGGCATAGCCCATTTAACATTACGGTATAAGAGAAAAAACGCGAAACACATTTTACACCAGAAAAAATGATTCAATTCTGTTAAAAATGGGAAGTAGGATAAAAAATGCTGCTCTCTTAAAGGATAGCGAAGCCAGAATATCATAAAAAATGCCCCAAATTTGGGTCCTATTCTTTAACATTAACCGAAAACAGCCTTAAATATTTTTTGCAAGCACATACACATTAGGTATTCAAATATTTTTATTTGAGCATTTATATTAACTTACTGTCACTTTTGTTAACTATCTAAATTCACTTGATATCACAAAAGCTTATTTATTACTGATTAACCAAAAATCAACGAATTCAAAACTGGATTCTTCCAAAGATCGCGGCAACAGAGTTTTCAGTCACAAGCTCTTGGCCGACATTGTATCAATCCCACTTTTTTTCCCCGAGTTCTATTTCCACTAAAACCGTTTATGTAATGGGGCTGATGAACATTATAGATGCTCAACGTTACGCTGTGTGTTGTGGAAATAAGGAGAGTAAGATGCCATCTCAAGTGTCGTCATCGTTATTTAACCGTGGTTCATACTTATGAGGTCCGTCTTGTCCTTCGAGTTGCTTTGACGTGCGATGTTAGTACACAATCAGTCAATCAAGTCGACTCTTCAGTTTTTAGGAATCTGTGTATAGATTCATTTGTGTGTGTCTTGATTTAGCATGAAGTCGTTGTAGTTTTAATATACAACTCTTAAATGGCTGCCGTGGAGACAGAGTGTCATAATCGTCATGATTCTGTCGAATCATATGTTCCAATTTTGGTGCCACTGAAGATTCGCAGTGAAGATAGGCTGAACTGCGTAAGCCCTGTGTAGGCTCGAATCGCATTGGTGCGGAAGTCTGGAGAGTGGGGCTCTAGTGTAAGGTTCTTCTTAGTCACTTTATTGAAGTGCAAAATTACGAGGTTCGGCACCAGTATTGACTGTTCAGCTGCAAAGTGTGACATTAAGAAACAATCAATGGTTCAAGTGTAGTATAGGGGGGGGGGGGCCCTTGGGGTGGGCCTTTTTTTTTAAATTAAAAAATTGTGCCCAAGGTTATTTTTTTGGAATTTATTTTTTTTTTT